TGGAACTATTTGAGTGTCTTCTTGATGTTTCGTATGTCTAGAACTATATGGTAGGTATCCATGTAGGACTTTGGTGTCTTGAATCGTGCTAAGTGTTCAACATTGTGTTTCGTTGAACCGTGATGAGTCTTGTGTGTTCTTCAGAACTACGTTTGGTTTACCCGTTTGATAAGCATGCTAGTTCGATGTTTAAATGATAGCGTGTGTGTTGTTTGTACCTTCCGTTTGGTTGATGATAACTTGTGTTATTCATCGTTGTTGTTGGGGCTGTGACCCATTCCTTGATTGAGTATGGTTTCATATCTTCGTTGTGATCCGTTGATTGATTCCTGTTGTGGTGTGATGCGTGTGTGGCTTTACCTGGATTGCACGATTAGTGGTATGGGACACTAGTCACCAAGGTATTTCAGCGGTCCTCGTGGTGGCCGTGACGTTATTATGGAGTTGTGGCCTTTGTGTAAGGTTCACGTTTTATGGGGGATAACATGTGTTATCCGGGCATGTGTGCCATGTGTGTACGGTACCTTGTGTACAGGGGTCGTTGGTGGGGGACGACGGTCCCGGGGGAATAAGGTTGGACTTGGTTGTACAGGGGTCCTGGAGGTAATGGTTGAAAGAAGATATAAGGTTGGGGGTAGCCATAAGGTTGGAACAGGGCATAAGGAAGGCATACCAACTCGTGATGGGTGATGTCGCGAGGGCTATTGTAGCCGGTGTTGTGTGTTCTTCTCTCGTGACGTGTGTAGTCACGGAGGCATGTGTTGCTTTGGCATGTGTTGCCGGTTGTGTGAGTCTTATCCTTTGGCGTTGTGCTTGTCGGGTTTTGATCTATTGAGTGATCATGGATCATGCCTTGACTCTTTTGTGAGTCGTGTTGTTCTTGTGGTCTTGGGATGTGTTCCCGTGTTGTTTGTTGAGAGTGTTGAGTCTTATGTTGGCTTTGACTCTTGGTTTTACACTTATATATATGTATTCCGTTTCGAAAATGGTTTTACAGCTTATACCTTACCTATTTATGTTATTTCACATGTATTGGTGGGTTACCAGCATTATTCGCTGACCGGGCGTCGTCCCATGTTTATCTTTATAATCTTTCAGGTGATGTTTAGACGAGCGCGATGTCTAGTGCCTGGTAGTTTAGTGTCTTTCCCTTGTTTTTGGCCTGTGAGCCGATGTAGTGATAGACTTATGGATTTTGGGATAGTTGTGTACACAATGCAGATTTGACCGCCGTAGCGTTTATCATTGTTGGTAAACGTGGCATAACACCCCCGTTTGGATTTGCTTTTATCCAGTTACCTTTTTATCTTCCGCTGTGCTAGTGTTTTGTTGTGTTATCTTCATGTGTTAAGGCTGTTGTTATAGCTTGTTTTAGAGGGGTGTTACAAGTTTAGTATTGCATGAGATTGCATTTGAGTATAGTATTGCACGAGATTGCATTTGAGTATAGTATTGCACGAGATTGCATAATGAGAATGTTTGCACTAGATTGCATAATGAGTATGATTAATCGGTATTGTATATTGAGCATGATTGCTTTAGTTGCATTTTGATGTCTTATATATCTAGTTTGCAAGATGTGATCTTGATAGCATGAAGATAATTTCGTATTGATTGATAGCATGAGTTCGTTATGACGAGTTTTATTATGAGAAATATGTGTTAGAGTATTTATGTTGATGAGTTATTTATCGTTGAAGCATGCCTGTTGATATTATAGGTTGCAAGCATGTAGAGAAAGTCTGTGATGTAACTAAAGTTGTCTAAGTGTTGAGATTGTTTGATTGAGTTTGTGAACAAATGTTTTTCCAAAGTATATACTATAGTACTTTACAGGGTTGAGTGTGGTTATACTTAGCTTCGTACTAATGGGTGTTTTCCTACTTGTCTACGTGTTGTTTTGCAAAACCCCTTTCAGGTGGGCCTAGCGTTTGGGAGATGATCGAGTTTGACTAGCTTAGTAGATCTAGTAGTCTAAACTCTCTTTGTTATTATGATGTTTATTTAATGGTTTATAGACTTATTGAAAATGTGCCGTGAATCTTGAATTTAAATTAAAACTTAACGTTCTACTTGGTTTTTAAATAATCAATTAACGTACCATTTTAATTGTGTCAGTTTATGTTAATACGATAAACATAAAGAATTAAAAGGTAAGAAATAAAAACCAGGAACACAAAGAAATGATCACGCAGTTCGGAGCTCCTTCTCCTACGTCTGCGGGGCAACCCACGTCTGTCCAATCCACTATAGATGTTCACTAAAAAGAGTATTACAATAGGTAAGTACAAATGGCCCTCAGCCATTACCACTACAACACCTTCCTAACATCTACTCAGGATTCTACGTGCATGCCGTGACGATCTTCAACCGAAGCTTCAGCTATACCAGGTACTGTCTGTGCAGTCCAGATTAAACTACAATAATATAATCAGATTAATTTGATAACTTTATAGAGAATCCTTTCACTGAGAATAGTAGTTCCAAATCAGCAACTCTCCTCATTGGGGTGGCTTCCTTTTATAGTAAAATATTAATCCCACTTTGATCCACATAATTAGCATCCCATCCACATAATCAGCATCATATAATCTTCAATGAACCACAACCACACATTTGATTTGGAAGCCTCATTATGTGTACTGTATTGCTGACTTCCTTCATTTTCAATCTTAATATCACCAATTAATTGTAGCCATTCAAATTAATTATTAGTTGATGGAAAATGGTCAAAGAGTATAACATAAAGTATTTCACATTAAATAATTCTAACCCTTTAATAATTAAATTAGCCAATTTATATTAAGGGTTTGTTTACATGTATCATTTATACACTTACACTTATGATGTTTATGTTTGGTGATAGACACCGGGGTGTTTCTCCCCTTTACGACTTTAATTAAGTATTGCTATGTTATTGTGATTTAATGAGTTAGTTCCATCCTTAGCCTGTGCAATCACCGTGGAGATGTGGTTGTGGCGGTGACATCTCCACTAGTTTATTAGTTAAGATTGTTTATTCGTTGCTTAGTTTATATTAATGTTGGTTTAGAATTGTAATTAAGTTTAAGAAAAGTGAGAAGTTACAACAGGACCAGATATCGCTCATGCAGTGGGTATTGTTAGCAGATTTCTTTTAAATTCAGGGAAAGAACATTGGGATGCTGTTATGTGGATTCTGAGATATCTTCGGGTTACTTCAAGTCTGAGTTTGTGTTTTGGTATAGGGAAACCTATTCTTACCGGATATACTGATTCAGATATGGCTGGAGACATTGATACGAGGAAATCTACTTCAGGCTATCTGATTACCTATGCAGGGGAGCAGTTTCGTGGCAATCAAGATTGCAAAAGTGCATTGCTTTGTCTACCACTGAAGCTGAGTTCATAGCATCTGTTGAGGCCAATAAAGAAATGCTATGGATGAAGAAGTTTATTCAGGAGCTCGGGTTTGTCCAAGACAAGTATGTGCTCTATTGTGATAGTTAGAGTGCAGTTCATCTTGCAAAGAACTCCACGTTCCATTACAGGTCAAAACGTATTGACGAAAGATATCGTTGGATTAGAGATATCTTCGAGTGCAAGATGCTTGAACTTGAAAAGATTCATACTGATGATAATGCGTCTGACATGATGAACAAATCGTTGCCAAGAGGAAAGTTTGAGGTGTGTTGCTCTATCGCCGGGATAGCGATATCTTCCACATAGTTGGGAGGGGAGATTTGTTGGGATTGAGCTTCCTTCTTGTGTGGTAAATAGCTCAATTTGGACCAAGCCAATTTATATTCACTATAATATATTTGTTAGCTTGATGGAAAAGTTTGCTGACAAATTATTTGGAGAATGGGATATGGGTAGAAGTTGGAGCAGAAAGTTGGAGAGAAGGAATTTGGGTGGAAGTTGGAGCAAAAGTTGATGGGATGAGGTTTGAAGATAATTTCCCTTCACTTCTTTCCCATATTTCCTTTCTATGTCGGCAGAACCTATCTATAAAAAGGGGATGCAATGCTCATTCTTAATGAGAGAGAATTCCACATCTTTCACAAGCTTCCACATAATTCCATTTCGACAGTTTTGATAGAGAAGGAAGAAAAATCTTATTTTTCTTATCTCTTCGGCAGAGGCATCAAAAGAAAAGAAAATTCAATTTTTCTTTCTTCCTTTTTCACGACAGTTCCTAGCTCTTGGGTATTATCTTCATCAAATACTTTGAGGTCAGCTTGTATTTATTCCTAATCTCGTAATATTTGTATTCATTTCTAGTCGGTTCTGTGATTTTCATTTGTCACAATATATATATGTTCGTTGTACCTCTCCAATTTTTGTTTGACTATTACAATGTATACAAATTGGAGGTATAAGTGCTTTCCAACTTGGAATCTTATAAAAAATGGCTAATCCGCTTATTTTTTGAAATATATTTTTATATTATAATATTTATATATTGATTTGTATAATATAAAAATTCAACCTTTAATTTCACATGTAACAAACTAAGCTCTTTTCCAACATACTATATATATAAATGTATATTATATTGATTCAATTCTTTATAACGAGACTATTCATGAATCATACAAATATATAATTATAAAACATAACGTATGTAATATATATATATATATTTTTGAAAGCTAACGTATGTAATTATTATGTTTAAAAATGACAATGGCACTGTTTGGTAAGATGATTGTGTTAATTAGAGGGTAACATTGGCTTGTTAGCTGATAGTTGTTTGGTATAATTTCTTTCTCAAAAAGCTAATTGGAAAAGTTGCTTGTAGTAACTTTTTAAATTTTAGCCTTATGGAGTTGCAAAAAGCTAATTAACCAAATATTTATATTGATATTTTAACTAAAACAAACAATTAATAGTGGTCATATAAGTCAAAATTGACCTATAGGCCAATTTTTTTACCAAACAGGCCTATACGAAATGATCATTTAAAACGTAGGACTCATTGATAAAAAGTAAGCAATGTATGCTATTTCAATTAAAGATTGACCAAAAATTTAATTACATTATCATGAATCATATACAAATATATAATTATTAAACATAATGTATTGAAATTATTATGTTTGAAAATGATTTGTATATTCAGTTTAATGGTGGGCAATCACTCAGCTCCCTCAATACATATACTTCCTAAACAGCACCGGCAACAACGTTCCTATGGTTGATTGAGATATACTGTCCTTCCATTCAGTGGTTGCAGTGGCCTTGCATTTTCCTCATAACCCTAAACAACAAATTCAAAACATCAAATATTTGTACCATTCTATGTATATATGTGTCACATATTAAATCTATCTAGATAGATGCATAATTCAGTACTTACATCATCAACAGCTTCCTTTAATAAGTTTATCTGTTCCTGTGATACTGTCTTTACCTACAAAATCCAACAATTTATCATTACTGTGTGAATGAGAGAAAGAGATACATGCATATTTAATTTTCTTGGAATATGAAAAAACTCCGCAGTCACTATTTGATGGTGTGCATATATCCCGCTTTATGATCCTTGTCGGTCAAAGAACCAACCTAGGTTGCCCATAGCTAGGTAACCAGCCCAGCAAGGTTGTCCATATATAGCTAGGTAAACCCAGCCCAACTAGGTTGCCATATATAGCTAGGTAAACCAATCCAGCTAGGTTGTCAATAGTTGGGTAAACCAGCCCAGCTAGGTAGGTTGCCAATAGCTAGGTAAACTAGCCCAGCTAGGTAGCCCATGCCCATGGCTAGGTAAACCAACCCAGCTAAATTGCCCATATATAGCTAAATAAACCAACCAACAAGATTGGCCCATATATAGCTAGGTAAACCAACTCAACTAGGTTGCCAATAGCTAGGTAAACCAACCTATAGCTAGGTTGCCGATATATAGCAAGGTAAACCTGCCCAGCTAAGTTGGCAATAACTAGGTAGACCAGCCTAGATTGCTCATAGTTAACCGGCTCAAACAAAGAAGGTTGAGATTCAAACTCGTGACCTTGTGGTTATATCCTTAGTCATCTTGGTTGGGTGTTGGGAGGTTAAGGTTAGGATACAGACCTCTTTGGTTACTGTCCAGATGACACCCTGTGAGCATGGTGGGTAGTGAGGGAACCAATGAATCTGTAATATTTCTTGCCCTCATATGTGATCTTTCCTGGATTAAGGGCGCCTAAAGCTTTACCATTGCGATCAACTTGCCTGATGCTGTTCAGCAACTGGAGTGGAACCAAGAAATTAATTAATGTATATAAGATCAATTCAATTATATTGTATATATATATATATATATATATATATATATATATATATATATATATATTGAATGGTACTTACTTGTCCAAGGAACTTATCAGGTTTTCCTATTTTGTATAAGATGGAGACAGCAGCAAATTCATCTTTTGCACTCCTATGAACCAGATGAATCTCCATATCAACCTTTTTGCCGTTCACAGTGTTCTCAGAGGGAGTATGCCAGTGGCATTGTAACATGAAGTAATCGGTACCGTTAATGATAATCTTTCCGGCATCACCTGTCCACTGGATCTGCATGCATGCAACAATTTATTATATAATGACCCGGGATATATGTAGATAAACTAAGTCATAAATTATAAGTGTAAAATAGTATGTAAATGAATTGTAATAATATTGGTGGATTAATGTAAGAATATTAGCTAGACAAGACAATGGACTTCGAAGGCCAACCCTAGCTAGGTTCCCAATCTTGGGTCTGGGTCACCTATCCCGATCCGAATCATTATCTTGGTCCAAGTCATCTTCTTGGACAGAGATCCTGGGCTATTGGATTCCAAATCTCCATTTGAGTAGTTTTCGATATCTCTATCAGTTACAAAATCGATCTAAATCCAACAAAACTAAAACTATTTGGAACTAATTAATTACCTGAAGAGCATGGCCTTTGTTGATGATTATAGCCCTCAGACGATTTGTAACGTCGAATCAACTCCCCAAATTTGGAGGTAACCTTAACAGTGGAGTCATCAATATTAATGGAGACTGCATGTTACCAGCATTGCAGACTGTATAATTTGTGTGAAGTTTTCCCCATTTCCCTGGGCCATTCTCAGCTCCACTAATATAGGTAAATTTGGTTCCCTCACTCTCACTGGCTAAGGAGATGGTTTGTGATGAGAGGAAAAGGATTGAGATGATGAGGAGGATGAGTGGATTGCCCATTATTTCAGACCTTCAAAACTTGCATTGACAACAATATAGTTTTGAAGGCCGGATTGAAGAAATT